GATTCAATTCGATTCGATTCACAATTAAATTCGATTCGATTCGATAAACGATTCGATTCTACATTATTTAAGTGCATTCACAGGATTATTTAAATGCTTCCCCTAAATTCTTTAAATGCTTGATAATTGTTTTTTTTCTTTTTCTGTCGTGTAATCGACTATAGTTTTCAGTGTCGACTAGTAGGAGCAATACAGTTTAGTTGACTAGACCCGCACATCCCTAGTAAGGACATCGGTAAAATAGTCCATGTGACATCAGGGCTTCAACTGTAATTTTACGAAGCTACGAGAATACTTTTTGTGTGCAAAGAAAACAAAAATATTCAACAATACTTCTCCTCCTCATCCCGTCTGCAACAGTGCACCACCATTGTGGAAAGTATCACGATGCATGCGCTTGCTTCCGCTTTGTGTAAACAACGCATGTGCGTGTTAAGGCTGATTTATACTTCTGCGTCGGACCTACGCCGTAGCCTTTACGCCGTAGGCTATGCGTCAGTTTTCATTTATACTTCTGCGTCGTTGTCCGCGTCAACGTGCAGTACACATGCAAACCGCTAGTCAGCAGTGTCCACGGGCATGTTGCTGGTGTAACCCGCAGTACCACGGCAAAAGCCGAAGAGCTTTTGAAGCGGCTCGTCGGAGAAGCATTATAGCCGTGACGGCGGCAAATAAATATCAAATCATTAAATCATTATTTAAAACTTCAAAAAGGAGACAATAACAGAACAGGAGATGATGGCATTCTTTCAATCCGCACAAGGACTTGTACCACAGCAGATCAACATTGTTTGTTGCGGACAACTACTGATGTATAATGCTATGTAGTATAATAAATGATAAGACACATGTTCTTTGCTTTGTTTTATTTTATATAAGAAGGTGTAACATTAAAATATATTAAACTGCACATAAACACACACAAAACTCAAGTACATATGGAGGGAAGGGTTCTTGCAGACCAATCACAGCGCTTGCGGTCCGCGTAGAATTGACGCGCTGTTAGATTTTTGGAGAGGTGCACATCAGGCTACGGCGTATGGGTGTGCGTCTATGCGTAAGCTACGGCATAGGTCCGACGCAGAAGTATAAATCAGCCTTAAGTAGTAAGACCGCAAGTGCACATGAAGTGTTCCATTTGGGACAGGGACAAAATGCATCTTTGAGCTCTCTTAACTGAAAATAACTTTCAACTGACATATCTTAATAAATAAATACATAATATAATATAATAATATACCCCCCACCCCCAAGCCCCCCTAATATTAAAATCCTAAAAACGCCCCTGGTGTGCTGTATGCGCTCGCATTTTTATTGATATGGAAACTTTATATAGGTAAGAAATTGTACATTCAGGAGCTGGTTTTCAACCCCTGCCCCAC